ATTTCCTGGAAAAAAAGTCTGTCTCCTTCTCAGTCATTAACACAAATTTTGCAAAAATAAAAAGAAAATTGCTAAAGAAGCATTTGTGCAAATACCGAGTAGTTTTTGCTAAGCACTGCTGGATTCTCTTTATTGCCTTGATGACAAATCATTGCGTCGTTGTCGGTTCAAACGCTTTATGGAACTGTTCGAAATTGCGAAAAAAGTCGAAACCAAAAATCAAAAAGGTCAAACGACCTTTGTATTCACTTTCTGGCTCTGATAGGCAAACACATTTAGCTCAGATGATAGCAAACACCCGTGGTGAGCAATCGCTGCCAGAATTCTCGACGGTTTCTTCTTTTGAGAGCTGCTTAGAAGCAAGTTGATGGCGAGTTTGTCTTTTGCATATATCAGCACGAAGTTATCAATGAAACGAGTGAGTGAAGAGTAGAGTAACTGGCTATTCTAACAGCAGGATCGAGCAACAGAGTTGCGCACTTTTTTGCGGCATACTGTCGGCAAACAAAATATCTCCATTAATTTTTTCAGCTATTTTTAAATACACTGCTCATAGGTAAGACTAATCGCTTTGTGCATTTACTTCAAATCAGCCTGTATTATGAAACTTTACAGTTTAAAGGCGCAAAGAGTTGGTATTGTTGTCGTGTAGTAGGTCGAAGCTTCGAACCTTTGACCTTGCTGGTGGAGCACTCAATTTTTCGATGGTAAATTGTACTAGCACGTGCTCAGAAGACAAATCCGCCGTCAGCTTGCTTGTAAGAAATCCTCAGAAAAGGGAGCCACCGACAGTGGCGCATTTTCTACCACTCGAACTATTTTTCGAGTGCCTCTACCTCTCACTAAGAACAAAAGACGAAGGATTTTTGACTTTTGACTTTGACGATTTGAAATATTCTAATGATGTTCCCTGCGAACTCATCCGTCCAAACGAATCCTGACCGTTCATGATCTGCAAATATCGCGTAAGAGGAATCGGAATAGAAACCCCTCTTCATTTTGTACTATCTGTTAGTTGTTAAAAAACTGAATAATTCGGTTTTGAAAAAAATAGGACAGTGCCGGCCATTACCGTAACTATTACTTGAATAAGTCGTAGCGTACGTGAAAAGAAGAGAAAACCGACAGGACATCAATCAAATGAATTCAGGAAACAAAAGAAGTCTTAATCAACTTTCTCAATCGGAGGATCTTGCGGATGGAGCCACTTTCTGAAAGTGGTTGTGGACCGAGAAAGAATCAAACCACTCGTCTTCATATCTGGACGCGACTTGCTAGACCACTACACCACGCTATATTGTTTGGCTACTTCACCTTATGCAGCACATCCTTTCCACATCTACCAGCTTGTCGTGGGACTTCTGCGGCAGTGAGTGTTGCTGCCGTATGTGCTACATTTGAGTGCTTTCATCACACATACGTTGTATTTTTTTGACTACTAACACCAGGCACATGCATCACTAATTGTAAAGATCACTATGCGATTATGACAGAAGAAAATACAAATGCCAGGACAGTAAGCGGCAAGGAGAATCACCGCGATGGACCAATGCCTCCTTAAGGCAATGCGTGATTAGCTTTAATCTTGGCGTTTGTTTCACCTTCTGAAAAGACCACCAGCCCACCGATTCAAGTACAACCTCACTCAGCCGTATAAATACAGCCCCCATCGCTCTGACAGCAAAGATTACAGTCGGTGTAGTTAATCTAGTTTAAACTGTTTAGATGCAAATTTACCTTCTTCGAAAAAACCCTTTGCATCCGTTGCATGCCACAGCTCCATAATGTTTTCCAATAGCTTTATCACCGCAAACAACACAAAAATCAGTTGCTTCAACGGCAGTCGTTGACGTAGCTCCACCTGAACCTGTTGACGCCTCCATGTTCAACACACAGAATTGAAACCAATCGTACAGCCTTTTTTTCAACAGATTCAAAAACGCAATTGAGAGCCTTTTTGTGTGCACATGAACTGGTATGCGTTACGAAATTACTGAAATTGGATTTGTATACTAGAAATGAAAATAACCTACTGACATAAGAC